TCACATGCTCTCTCTCTCAAATAAATAAATACAGGGATGCCTGGGTGGCTCAGTTGGTTAAGCGTCTGCCTTCGGCTCAGGTCATGATCCCAGGGTCTTGGAATCGAGCCCCGCATTGGGCTCCCTGCTCAGCTGGGAGCCTGCTTCTCCCTCTCCCTATACCTGCTGCTCCCCCCTGCTTGTGGTCTCCTCCCTCTCTCTCTCTGTCAAATGAATAAATAAAATCTTAAAAAAAAAAACCCATAAAATCTTTAAAAATAAATAAATAAGAAAAAATGTGCAAAAAATTTGAATAGACATTTCTCCAAAGAAGATATGCAAATGGCCAATAAGCACATGAGAAAATGCTCAACATCATTAGTCATTAGGGAAATGCAAATCAAAACCACAATGAGATACCACCTCACACCCACTTGGATGCCTATGATCAAAAAGGCAAGTGATAGATATTGGTGAAAATGTGGAACTGTTACCCATTTCTGATGGGAATATAAAATAGTGCAGTCACTTTGGAAAATAGTTTGGGTGTTCTTGAAAATGTTAAACATAGAGTTAGCATATGAACCAGCCATTTCATTCGTAGGTATATATACCCAAGATAAATGAAAACGTATGTCCACACAAAAACTTGTACACCAATGTTTGTAGAGGCCTTATTCAAATGGAAATGACATTATTTATGTTTCCATTCAGGGAAAACAACCTAAATATCTATCAAATGATGAATGGATAAATAAAATGTGGTTTATCCATACAATAGAATACCATTTGTCAATAAAAGGAGTGGTTGCTAGGGGCTGGGAGAAAGGGAGAAGAGTGAGTGACAGCTTTCTCCCTGAGCTGATACACACAGCAACCTTCTTTGAAACCTCCTGGATGTGGAGCAGGGGTGGGGTGGAGAGGGCAGAGGCGCATTTACTTCTGACTCACCCTTACCTGGAGTGTATAACCCTTCGGATGTTCCAATTTGTGAGGTCTGCTATTTGACTCCCTACCCTGGGTGGGTTCTGGTATTCGGCTACTGCTCTCTTCACCCTAAGAGGTCATCAAACCTGAAGTTCAAAGTTATGTAGATTGGAAAAAGTAGACTTGGTGCTTGGCTTATCCCACTGAAGTCCACTTTCTCTTAGATTTTGATCTGGAGATTTTTTTTTTTTTTCCTATCTAGTCAGCTTTTTGATGCTTTTAAGAAGACGTTTTCTATTTTTCCCAATACAGATAGTAGTTTTCACCTGATAAATTCATTCAAATAAACAAGCTTGCTATATTTCTGAAACTGATAATTGATTTTAAATCCCTTAATAATTTTAAATTCATGCCATTAACTTCAAGAAGCCACTGGGGCTGCCTGGTAGTGCTACTCAACAACTCTGATTCATTGTCCCACCCTTCTAGAAGATTCTCACAATTTCTTTTTTCCTACTTTCTTCAGCTCTCTTTTTCAAATTATACCTTCTGAAGGAGACCTTGCTGGCGAACCCTATAAGTAACACCTGCCTCCCCATCACTATCTCCCTTATTGCATGTTATTTTTAGTATTATACTTAGTAATAGCAATCACTACCTAAGATATCAGACTTCTGTTGATTAGTTAAGTGTTATTCTTCTACCAGGAATATAAACTCCAGAGGAGCAGGAATTTGCCTGTTTAGTTCCATGATGATCTGTGATGCTTAAAGAGTACTTGACAAAAGAATATGCATGACAAATATTTAATTTTGGAACACATCGCCATACATTTTAGATCAAATATCTGTGTTTGCAAGATCTGTCTGCTGCCAGAATGTTAGTGGGCTTCCAATTTAACATCATCGTGGGTGCAATTTTATGTTCCAAGATCTATGTGCTATTTGATGTGCTTCTCTTTTTGCAAGCACCATATTGACACTAGTGATGGGCCCTGGGAAGATTTCTGTTTGTACGCGGTCTCATTAGTATTTCTATTTCAGATGACTGTTCCAGAAAATACTATTGCCTCCATGGCAGATGCCTGAGTGAGCCCAGCTGAGGTTCACGAGGTCCAGCCCAGATCAGCATAACCATCCAAGCAACCTGAGGACCAGTGAGGAAAAATACACATAGTGTGGCTGTTTTAAGCCATTAAGGATTAGTTTGTCATGCCCAAATTGTGAAGTGATAGATGGTGCAAGCAGAAAACAATCTTTGCCATTCACTCTGTGAATTATTTCTGGCTCTTGGATAAAAACCCAAGTCTGGGGAAGGGGCCAGAGGGAGCTCCTATTTATGCTCATGTTCATGTTCACATCATAGACCACCAGGTCACTCTCGATCATAAGACCTGTTATGACTTCAAATCCACTTCTTTATGGCATAAGTGAAGCTGTCTTGATCTAAGGGTGACTTGGTTTACATTTGGGTGGCCATATCAAAAGGAGGTCCCCAAAGCTGCTGCGCTCAGTGCTTATAGATAGGAAACCGTTAATACTAAACATTTGCAAAGACTTACCAAGAGTGTTCCGTCTGGACAAGGCTACTCTTTGGTGATCTAAAGAGCTCTTTGAAGACCTTGGACATTAGCTCCTGCTGTGGCAAGGCTACTCATTGCTGGGGAGCCTCTTCCCCGCCAACACCAGCACCTCGGCTCTGCTAGCATGGTGCTCTAGGAACAAGACACTTTCAATCTGGGCTGGCCCCTGGACGTCGGCTCTTGGGTGGCTCAGCCAACTCTTCTGAGAATCAACTGGTGGAAATGTACCCCTCAATTAAATTTGGACTTTCTTGGGGGCGCCTGGGTGGCTCAGTCGTTAAGCGTCTGCCTTCGGCTCAGGTCATGGTCCCAGGGTCATGGGATCCAGCCCCGCATCGGGCTCCTTGCTCCGCGGGAAGCCTGCTTCTCCCTCTCCCACTCCCCCTGCTTGTGTTCTCTCTCTGTCAAATAAATAAAATCTTTAAAAAAAAAAAAATTTGGACTTTCTTTCTTTCATCTCCCTTTTGCCTGGGACAGTAATGTAATTAATCTATCGCTGGTTTGGAGTATGTTCTTTCTTTATTGGCTCATGAAGAGACATTATCCTGGATGCGACTGGCTTGTGACATATCATTATTATAAATTATAATTCCCACAGTGAAATTTCGTTAAATAAATTATTGGCAAAGACAACCTCAGTCTCTGAGCATAATTTGCCGTGAATGAAACAGGAACCATCTCTATTGAGTAATTAGAATGTCCGATCCAATGTAATAATCCAAATGTCAAACTTTATTAAGGATAAAAGCGGTCTTCTCTCTCCTGGCTGAGAACTGTGTTGGGTCTTGAGGCCTGAGGTGAGGGAGTAGGATGTGGTTAGACTCTTGGTCTCCTTGCTCGGCCTCCTGCCTCAGCTCATCAGGGAGGTGGATTGAGTGGGAAAAACAAAGATGTACATGGCAGGCGCAGGCCCATTTCCACATCGGTGCTCGTTGGTCTCGGAGGCTTTCTAGCCTGGCTCACTGTCTCTTGAAATCTTGTGTGCTTCTTAACCATTCTCCCACCAGGAACCTCCAACACAATCCCCATTACGTGTGCAATGCCTTCTATTTTCTTTTCTTTTCTTTTTTTTTTTTTTTTTAAAGATTTTATTTATTTATTTGAGAGAGTGAGAATGAGAGAGAGAGAGCATATGAGAGGGAGGAGGGTCAGAGGGAAGCAGACTCCCCCCCAAGCAGGAAGCCCGATGCAGGACTTGATCCTGGGACTCCAGGATCATGACCTGAGCCGAAGGCAGTCACCCAACCAACTGAGCCACCCAGGCGCCCTGCCTTCTATTTTCATAAAGCAGAAAAGTAAATCAAATCATAAGCTTTATGATACATTTTCACAAGGTGAACGCACTTATATGGCCACCCCCCCAGCCAAGAACTGGAAACACTATGAGGGTCCCAATAGCCCCTTCTGCTTCTCTTTCTTACTACCCACCCTCATCCCCTACCCTAACTTCTAACTCCAGAGACAAACAATTCAGACTGTTGCCTTTGATAAACCTGGTTGGCTTTTTCAAGGACGTTATGTCCTCTGCTACTCAGCTAATCAGTTTACCCCCAAATATGCAAACAAAATTCACTGTTCCCAGACTGATACATCTTGGTACTACCTTTGTTCCTTGACGCAGTCTCCCAACCCTCTACTTATATGCAAGCAAACAAAGGATACGCAAGGTCACTGAACAGTGAGCAAAGGAATATCTCTTTGTTAGTCTTTGACAAACAACTCCTCCCAGAGAGCTTAAGTAATGATGTAATATATTAAGTGTAGGGGGAGAGGGCCTTGAAAAATGATTACTTCTTTAACTATAAAGATGAATAATTCTTAATGGATCTAGAGACAGAGTTCTTAATGTTTCTTTAAAATTTCCAAGCGTTTAGGGAAATTTAATTCATTTCTTAAATAACATGAGATCAATAAAATATTCTCTATTATCTCCACTTATGCCAGAAATCATGTTAAGCATGAATTGTTAAATTCCTTTTTAAATATTATAATCAGTTACATAGAAACTGATCTGGTTTAACGAGGCTCTATTCTTAGTTTCAACATTTCTTAGGATTTTGCAACGAAGAGAGGAATAAAAAGTGATTCAAAGCAGGCTATCATCATTTGTTGCAGACACTGTTGGGTTCAAAATTCGACCTCACTTTAGGAATGTTTTAATGGACCAATGTGTAAGCCAAACAGTCGGTATCAAATTGCATTTTGTCTGTTCCTCACTGCCTGAGGGGATCTTTCTGCAAATTCTATTTCAATCAAGGCACTACCAAGGGAAGAAAAATGTTACCATTGGCCTTCTACTCCTGGTATCAGTTTGTATTCTTCAAACTTTATCTTTCTCAGGGCGCCTGGGTGGCTCAGTTGGTTAAGCGACTGCCTTTGGCTCAGGTCATGATCCTGGAGTCCCTGGATCGAGTCCCGCATCGGGCTCCCTGCTCGGCGGGGAGTCTGCTTCGTCCTCTGACCCTATCCCCTCTCATGTGTTCTCTCTCTCATTCTCTCTCTCTCAAATAAATAAAATCTTAAAAAAAAACAAAAAACTTTATCTTTCTCTAGAGATCTATTTCTCTACTCCCAACAAAATTTCTCAAATTTCTCTTCTGTTAAGTTCCCAATAAACACACCTGAAAAGCCCCGAAGAAAAGCATCAGAGGCAAAAATTATTCTCCAAATCAGTTTATATGATTCATCAAAACTAACTCCTTGAAATACATATAAACACAATACATACAATGCTACCTCTATTATGTACATAAAATCTTCTTTCCTACCAATACAAAAGCTTTAGCATTTAATATATTTTTAAGAGTGAAAATCTATGTTTTCTCATGTCCTATTCAAATAAATAATCATATATTGCATTGCTTTCCCTGAAAAAAAATATTTTCAGAGCTTTGGGGTACATCTGATATGTGAATTACAAATTTTTGTCCATCTTTTAGGGTTACAAGGGCTTCTTGTCCCACAGGAAGGCTGAGTTTGACCGTGCTTTCTGCGGCCTTGTCCTCCAATAATACCTGGATGAGCTGCAAGGGGGAAATGTTTAAAAGACAAAGATAGAAAAAAAAGTTATTCCCTGTTGCTGGACCCACCATTTATATTCTTCTACCATGACCTCGCCCCACCCTTGGACCTCAACTGGAAGCTTCTGCCTTTATTTGTTCCTACTACGGGATATCCTAATTTCTTTGAGGAATGCTCGGGGCCTGGTGAGGACTTCAGGGAAGGAATCTCAACCCTGGGATGGTGCAAGAGAGAGGGGCCATGGGGGGTGAGGCGGGTGGGCTCTCTTTAGGAAAAGGAATGGGCCTGCGGTTGTTTGTGAGGAGCTGAGATCAAACCCAACACTCTTCCATTAAAGACACGGGAGAGTGTGGATCCGTTGTGAAAATCAAGAAGGAACCTGTGAAATGTTTAAGGGCTCCTATGTGGCTGCAATGCTCATCGCTTTGGCTGCCTTCCAGATGGATACCAGTCCCTGCATTCTTGGCTCAAATTCCCACATAGACCCTCCCTCCACCATCCATCAGATATACCAATAGATAAGGGGTGGGGGTGGGGGGAAACCATGAAAACAGTCATTGGTTAAATTAACACTCAGTTGGGTAGTAATAGATTTGAGAGAATCACAGATTCTAGTGTTAACTTAGTGCCCACTCTTGGATAAGCCATCTAACTTGCCTGAGCAAGGCTTCCTATCAGAGAAACCAGGATACTAGGCCTTCCTTCCCTTAGCTCTTATGGTACTGGGAAGATTAGCAATTCCTCGGACATGAATACTTTCAAATTGATAGAGATGTATTTTCTTGGGTCTGGTTTCATTGATAACCCCCTCCACCCCCCATAAGGAATATATTTTACAAAGATGTACACAAAACAACTTCAAACGCAAGGTTAGTGAAAGTATTTCTCACTCTTTCTCCCTAAATTTGACAATAACCATCACCACCCAATGAGAGGATGTTTTTCTTCTCTCTCAAAAAAATCGTCTTTGGGCGCCTGGGTGGCTCAGTGGGTTAAGCGACTGCCTTCGGCTCAGGTCATGATCCTGGAGTCCCGGGATCGAGTCCCGCATAGGGCTCCCTGCTCAGCAGGGAGTCTGCTTCTCCCTCTGACCCTCCCCCCTCTCATGCTCTCTGTCTCTCATTCTCTCTCTCAAATAAATAAATAAAATCTTTAAAAAAAAAAATCGTCTTTACCTTTGTCCTATAGCTAAAGAGTCCCTTGTTTTTAAATATTTTTGCCATGCTTTAATCCTTGAGTACATGCCCTAAAGTGAAAAATGTGTGGTATGCTTTTATTTTTTGTTTTTATTTTTTATTTCTAAATATTTTTTTAAGTGATCTCTACATCCAATGTGGGGCTCAAACTCAAGCCCAAGATCAAGAGTCACGTGCTCTACCAACTCAGCCAGCAAGGCGCCCCCATGTGGTATGTTTTTAAAAAGAATATTCCTTATTTAATATCTGTGATTTTTTACTTTATTCTTAAACACTCCTGGGCACCTTCCTATCGTGAACGTTGCTGGAGTTGTAGAAGAGAGACAGATGGATAGGGCAGTCCAGAATACTGACTCTGGATGTTATCATAGGTGCAGGGTAACACTAAATTGTTCAAAGAATGAGGAAGCCACAGATGTGCCGCTGAATGGGGTGTTAACTCGTGGCAGATGAATGCAGATGAGACACCGTGGGTGTGCTTTTTTGTTGGTGAGGAGTGCAAATGCTGAATAATGAACGCAATAAAAATTAGATGAGCATAACTTTTTGGTGTTAGAGCGTTTAAGTCATTATAGCTAATTCAGCAGGCATGCACAGACAGAAGCAGGTTTAATTAATCTCTAATGCATATTACCTTGGGTTATCTGACATTCATCTGCCTGTATTGCTTTATTATGTAGTTCAATTAAGTATTTAATGTCTTTCTCCATTGTTTCCACCAATTAAATATAAGTCAAACCCCACTGCAATAAACTTTGGAGTTGCTAGGGGATTGGGTGGAGTGTCATGGAAAGGCGCTCAGATTAAGTTTCTTTGGAGAAATAATAATGATGACTAATGATTATGGGTTCTTACTATGTTCCAAGAATTTTGCAATGATTGACTTATTTAAACTTTATAACAGCCCTATGGAATTAGATATTATTATTCCCATTTTGTAGATAAGGAAGCTGAGGAACAGATAAATTAAGCAACCTGCCCAATGTTCTCAGCTAAGAAGTGGAAGATGGGGCATTTGAACCCAGGAAGTTATGTACTAGAATTGCCCACTTACATTCCCAAGTCATCAGACTTGAAGGTATTTTTAATTTATTCCCAATTCACTGCTTTTGGAATTAGAGCACATGGTAGCATCTTTTGGGGAGAGAGAGGGTGCTAGGAAGGGACAGTTTTGCAAGGAGATCTACAGAGGTTTGAATCCCTGCTCTGTCAATTACTAGTGAGGTGACCTTGTGAACATTACTCCACCCCTCATGAGCCTCAGTTATGCTATCTGTGAAACGGGGGCAATGATGGTACATCTCACTGGGTTGTTGAAATGATGCATTTAAATGCCCAGCACAAGGAGCTGACAGTGTCTGCTCTCCACCAGCTTCTAACTGTGGCCAAAGAAGTAAAAGTTTACTCCTGGTTACCTTGGTGACTAAGGGGCATGTCAAATTGTCTACAGTCCTAGCTCTCTCCCCAGCCAGTGAGTGGAGAGATGTACACACTTGGAGCTGAGCATCCAGCACAATTGCTTGTCCTGTTAGGGTTCCATAGAATGCTCCAGAGTGCACTCAGGGGGGCTTCCTACTGGCCAGCCCTTTCTGGACCCTGTTGCCAGGACAGGGTACATCGTCCAGAGGGTCAGGGTGCAGGGAGAGACATTTCACTGGGCACAGCCTGGCCAACTGGGTCTAACTGGGCCTTCTCTCTACCAAAAGCCCTGAAATACCAACTCGTGAGTGATGCCCTAATTGTCCCCAGCTGTTGTTTTCCTAAGGCGGCCCAGCTCTCCTGCCCCTGCCATGGGGTCCCTGATTTGAGGCCAGTATGTCACTATATCCCTATTTCATGCCTATTTGTCATGTCTGCTTCACAGATACACTCTCAGAGGAGGTGAGTTTCTTATTTATAGACACACGTCTGAATCTACTCTACCAACCATATCAAAGGCAGCTGGATATATGAACTTATTATTGCAAGGTAAGAAAACAAAAACCAAAGACAGAGAATTTGTAAACCTGAGAGGCATCTCTTTTGCTCCTGCTCATATTATTTTTGTCTAGTAGGTTGTTCCATCCAAGTAGTGCTCAATAACAGGGTTCTCTGGGGGGTGCCTGGGTGGCTCAGTTGGTTAAGCATCGGACTCTGGGTTTCAGCTCAGGTCATGATCTTAGGTTCCTGGGACTGACCCCGTGTTGAGCTCCCCGCTCAGCAGGGAGTCTACTTGTGGATTCTCTCCTTCTCCCTCTGCCCCTCCCCCTAATCACACTCTCTCCCTAAAAATAGATAAATAAATCTTTATATAAAAAAAATTAACAGGGTTCTCTGAACTCTGGAGTACTTGGAATGACAGTTTGTTCAGGAAGGAAAGGTCCCTTGGAGGTTGTGGTTATTGTGGGGACTGTAGGGTATGGACAGTTTCAAGCTGTGATTCATTTCCATGATCAAGACCCCTGTTAGGTGAAGGGCAAGGCCTCTGCCTGGGTCTCCTACTCAACTCAACTCCTCATCTTCTCAAAAGAGGAAGGAACTTGAGGGTGCGGAAGAAATACTATGCAAAGTGGCTAAACTTCCAAACATGTATAGAAATTTTAGAAATTAATACTAAGGCAATTTTTTTTTTTTTTTTTTTACACCAGGTACCCCTGCTTCCTCGGTCAACAGAGGAGTTGCAGTTGCTTGTTTCATCAGTTTGGCTCCACTTTCTGGCACTCAGAGAGGGCCCCCTCTCTGACCTCTGCAACCTGTGTCCTATTCTCCTTGGGGCATGGATCACCCTCCTCTGATCTTGTGTTGCGGGAGAAGAATGGACTGGAGATCAGGCAGGCCAGGACTCCAATCTCTGTTCCACTGTTTACTTGCTGTGTGACTTTGTGCAAGTCACTTAGCTTCTCTGACCCTCAGTTACCTCAGCCATGGCATGAAAATGGTAAGAGCAGATACTCTGCAGGATTGTATGGCTTTGAGATAATGCATATAAAGGGTGTATAGTAGGTGTTAGATAAATAGCAATTCTTTTTTTTTTTTGAGGTGGGGGAAGAGGCAGAGAGAATCTTTTTTTTAAAGGAGGGAAGGGCAGAGAGAGAGAGAGAGAGAATCTTAAGCAGGCTCCATGCCCGGTGTGGAACTGGACATGGGGCTCGATCTCACAACCCTGAGATCAGGGCCTGAGCTGAAATCAAGAGTTGGCCACTTAACCAACTGAGCCACCTAGGCGCCCTAGCAGTTCTCACTTTTATCTTTCAGGATGTACCCCAATTCCATCTTTTCAAAATCCAAAATACCAGAGGTGTTTTCAGTGCTTCTCTCTTAGTTTAGTTAGCTCAGTCAGTCTAACCACCCCTGGTAAGTGTGGGAAGGCAAGACCCAGGTCATCCAAATATTCCACACCTCTGAGTGTGCCAGGTACCTATCTATGCACCACGAACCTGAGCCAACCAGTGATCAACAGATAAGCTACTATAATCACCTCTGGCAAGATCTCCCAAAGCAAAGACGGATCTAGAGCTGTGTATCGTCGTTTGGACAAAGTGATCTTTATGGGTTTCCTAACCATGTGATAGTTCTTAGTCCTTTGCAAAGACTGCAGAAGCTGGGGCCCCTGTGTCTGTACCTTATTGCCCGTGTCACTGTCCACCAGGAAGCCCAGGACCCTGAGAACCACACTGCTCACACCCATGGGACATTGGCTCTGGCCCATGTGTTTCAGGGTCACCCAGTGTGGATCCACACTTGGGCTTTCATACTCCTGAGATGGAGAGGAATCTGGAGGGTGGAGAGATGCCTGGTCTGGCTGGACAAGAGACTGATCATCTGGTAGCCTTTCCTTGAGATGTCCCCCGTCGTCATCCTCCTCTTCCTCTTCTATGCATGACTGAAGTAGATGAGTCACAAATTCCAAAAGCAGCAAATGGAACAGATGCCAAGAGCCTACATTGAAATAACAACCCTAAATGAATAATTAGATAGACAGATGGACAGATAAACCGATCACTATGGAATTACCAACTTTTCTGGGGCTTTTAACTTCTGTGTACTGGGGCCTTCTCACTCCTCTAGCAGATCCTGGGGGTCCTGGGCAGGCATTCTGTACCTGTGAACCCCAGCAAGGTGGCTTTTGGGACAGAAAGCACAGACAGCTAAATCGTCTTGAGCCATGAGAGGGAACTTAAAGCCCATCTAGGGTGAGGTGGAGAAAAGCAAATCCTACAGAGAGAGAGGTGCCATTCCCAGAGCTGGAGAATGTGCCCCTCAGCCCCCTGTGGTTGGCACACGGGGCAGTTAAGGGCTAGGCTGGGAGGAGACGTGGAGGCAGAGTATGGATGGGAGCCAGCTGCCGATCATAGGCTGGAAATGTAGCACCTGCAGGCCAGGCATCAGGGAGATCGTGAAGGGGAGACAGGAGGGCATGTGACTCAGCGGAACGCTCCAAATCCCAAGGTCTTTGGTCTTCCAGGAAAGAAGGATAATTAATGTTCAGCTGAAAAGCAGGGCAGGGTTGAGGGGAGGGGGATCTGGCTTATTGCTATCGTTAAAAGATATTTTTTTTCTAAAAATTTTATTTATTTATTTGACAGAGAGAGACAAAGTGAGAGAGGGAACACAAGCAGGGGGAGTGGGAGAGGGAGAAGCAGGCTTCCCGCTGAGCAGGGAGCCTGATGCGGGGCTCGATCCCAGGACCCCGGGATCATGACCTGAGCCAAAGGCAGACGCCCAATAACTGAGCCGCCCAGGCGCCCCAAAAGATACTTTTTTAATGAAGGTAAAACCACCCCCCTCTCTACAGATATAAAATGAACATGTGTCAAAGATCTCATATAAGTCATTTATTAAAGAGGAAGTTCGTAAAATGTTGCCAACTTGTTCAAAGGAGAATTCCAAGCACTGAGCGTGTATAGACAGTAAAGATGCCCCACAGATCTGTCCTCAGGGCAGTAATCAATAGCATCCACCTGACACAATTAGTTTGCATTTCCCTGGGGGAGAATCATTTGCATTATTACTGATACAATTTAGAGAGTTGTAAAATAACTCGAACACATGAAAGCTGAAGATAACTCAGAACCTTCTGCCTATTTCAAAGCCTTTTGTCCATTTCCAGCAAACTTTTGTCCATTTCAAAGCCTTACGCAATGTTTGTTTTTCTGTGATGGATCCCGGTGAGACAGGATGGCCTGACCTGGTCTGGAATAAGCTTGACCAGCAACCCCTGGCCCATTTAACCACGTGAAGAGGAAAAACCAGTGTAAATACTTTTTGGGACATCATACGAGGTCCAAAGAGGGTGTGTGGTGGGGTAGGGGGCAACAGCTTCAGGGCTGGGTTTCTTATCAGGAGCTCAGCACATGAGCTCCGCTCCCTCACTTTGCTCTGGGAGAGCATTAGCATAAAGCAGAGTCATTTTGGACTTCACTAAAAGGGAGAGTCTCATTACCAGTGGGTGTCACCTCCATGGATGACAGGTGACAGCAGCCATCCTCGAAAGAGTTCCAGAGTGTTGGCAAAACTGGTCTACGATAAAGCTTGTCTTCTCTTCCTCGTTTCACCTGCTGTTAGGGCATCTGGCAGCTCTCTGGAGCAGGGATCCTTCACCCAGATTGGTGTGCAAGCTCACAGGGGCGGAGACTTTGTCTTTTCACTGCTGTTACGCCCAGTGCCTGGGAAGGTGCCTGGGACTTTGTAGGGACACAACTATCCACTGGAATGAATGATCCTCTCCATGGGGCTCAGTGGTGAACTTCCCTTCCTACAGTTCCCCTATGCTGCATCTTTGCCACAGATGGGACAGACGTGACCCTTCCTGACAGAGAAAGACCACCTATTTGAGCAGATAGTTTGCAATGGATGCTACTGCACTCTTTCCACTATCTGCATACAATGGTGACTGGATCAATCATTAGTCCTGAAATTTAAACTTGGGTGCCCCAAAGAACCCATTTGTTCCCCATCTCATTTGGCTCCCTGGGTGCTTTTCTAAAAACACCCAAGTACACAATTCAAAAACAAGGGGAGGCCTCTTATGCATCCAACCATGATGGAATGGGAAAGGGAAGCTTGGTTTGACTGTTTGATGGACTATGATGGTTGCCATTAAAACACAATTATTATGGCTTTCTAGGTCTGTGTTGTATTTTACAAAAAAGGTGAAAAGAGGGGCGCCTGAGTGGCTCAGTTGGTTGAACGTCTGCCTTCGGCTCAGGTCATGATCCCGGGGTCCTGGGATAGAGTCCCTCGTCGGGCTCCCTGCTCAGCGGGCAGCCTGCTTCTCCCTCTGCCTCTGCCTCTCCCCCTGCTCGTGTTCCTGCTCTCTCTCTCCCTCTCACAAAAATAAATAAATATTTTTTAAAAAGGGTGAAAAGAAGGTGACTGGATTCTATGCTGTCATAACATTTTAAAATACCAAAATGTTTTGTGTTCTCTGCCTTACCGAAACTATCTCTGTGGCAGAGAGTCATGGCTTTGCTCACGGCGGTGAGAAGGAAATTCCATCTTAGCTGGAAGCTGGCGGCCAATCTGATAAACTCCTCTTTGCTTCTGCTGGGCTATTACATTTTTGTGAGGAAAAAAAATGCTGGGGTTTGTGACAAAGTCCGGAAGATCACAAGCGCACGGCTGCCACGCACAGATGCCCCCAAGTGGCCGGGCGAGAACAGGAAGAAGAAATGATGAGGCAGAGGCACACTAGCCTATTTGTGGTCCCCCTGCATCTCCTGTGGAGATGACTCTAGGGCAGAACCTTTTGAGGTTGGTGGAGAGAAGAAAGAGCTGGGAAACTGGCCTACGTTTTTTGTTTTGATCCCACACAGTTTTTCGAAAGCGGTCATTTGTGAAGAACCACAGGGGACTGGCGTGGGCAGCCTTGCTGGGCCCACCTGGCTGTCGCCCCTGAGAGAGCTGCTGGCCGCTCTATGCCTGCCCAGTCCAAGCATGTGCAAAAGCAGCTAATGAAGGTCACCGTGCTGATTCTGGAAAGCACAAAGCTGGCCACTGTGCCATGTGCATGACCTGAGGCCTGGAAGGTTCCACCTGGGCAGCCAGCGGACAGCCTGAGTGGCACTAAACTGGGTACCAGTGAGATGCCTCCACATGCAGGCTGCGAAACTCCATCTAGACCGAGAGTCGCCTTGGGGATCCTATGAATCTCACAGGCATGTGTTGGAACGAACACCCCTGAAGCCCTCCTAAGCCTCATCGTGTATGTGGGCCACACATGGGGCGCAACCGCAAGTCTCTGAGGAGGAGATGTTGAGCCTGGCTAGAAATGAGGGAATAATACCCTTTTTCATCTCTGCTGCTCCTTCCTCTGCACACTGTGAGTGCCCTGGGCTCTGGGAGGTGGTGAACCCCAACCAGGAGCGGCATCCTCCCCCCGTGGGCTCCTGGCCCCTGGCCTGGTGCTTCTGACCACCTAACACAGGGCTCCCAGGAGGAGCCCTGCTCAACAGACACAAGGATACTTCTGAAAAGCATGGAGAGAAGTAGCCCTGGGTGACCAGCACTCTGCACAAACGTTGAAATGTAAACCCTGAGCGCTGTGGCCATCCATGTGGCACTTCAGGCCCCTGTGTCCAGAAGCTGCTGCTGGGCCCGAACCGCCGAGAACTGGGAGAGCAAGCACGTGACCCAGAGGATCGGTTTCTTCTGCGAGCGCGCTGCCAGACGCCAGCCACTGAAGCCATTAGTCACCTCCCACATGCCTCAGGGCTTACATTTCCACAGTCTGAGTATTTTATTGACAATAGTCTGGTTTTTTTATCAGCCAAGCTGTTGTACAAAAACAAGCCCTTCAAAGGCATGGTTACAAAAATACCATTTTTCTAACATGCCTCATTTGTGAAGGCTGAAGATATGGGGGTGGGAGTCTTGGGAAATACAGAGTGTTACATGGTCTAAAACAGGGTGAGCCTCTTGGGCTCAGGGGACTCATCTTGGTTCAAGTCAGGGGTGGAGTGAAAACCCAAAACAAGGAACAGAAGCTCGAAAGCTTCTACGGGTGAAGCTATCAAATGAATACATGTCTCCACAGCAACGCAACCCTAGACACGCTTACCACTGTTACAAACAGGCTTTGCCAAAGCCCAACGAGGAGAAAGAAAAGCCATACAGAATCTGGAACGATTATCACCCAGAGGCAAAGAATGGAAACAGACACCTGCCAAGCATTGGAACTGACTTTCAAGCTCCTTCCTGAAAAGTTTCCTGGTTCATCTCTGAGGTGTGTCACCCTACTGCAGCCTGCAGTCTTAGGTATTACCTGTGCCCTTTTCTCTTTGATGGGGCGGACAGGCATACAGACAAGAACACGTGCGGCAGGAAGGGGGAGAGAAAGAAATGTGACTGGAGGCTTAACAGAAAGCCCAAAGTTGAGTTTCTGGCCCAGGCCCTCCAAGTCTTTGCTCTCTGCTCCAGAGACATTTGCTTCTTCCGTAAATGGCCCTCCATTTTTCCATATGCTCATTCTGCTCTTGCTAGTTTCGTGTGGACATTGTTCCTTTTCTTAGTTTGCTTTAATCCTATTCACCTTCTACATCTTGTTTAAATCCCACCTCCCTCATCAAGGCCCTTCCTAACTGCCTCAGCCTTCAGAGGACAATGCCTCAAGTTAGCGCAGCCCTGGGCTGCCTCATTTGGGTCTAGGTTTTAATGCATAGCCCCCAGCTCCTCGCCCACCACCCCCGATGGGCCACTGGGCAGGCTTTCTCTGACAGTACTCTTAGCTCTTACAGTGAGGCTGCCAAGGCAGAGGATGAGGACAACAAAGCCAAAGTAACGCCCTAGTCAAGTAACACCCAAGTTTCAAGTCGATCAGAAGGACCAAACCCATCTGTATCTAAAACAATGCATCTTGGATTTTGTGAAATCAAGCTTAACACTTGGATGGTTCTGCAAAATACCTAGACCAGCACTGTTCTCCCTAAATAGACTGCGCTCCCTCTTCCTCCTAGACATTCTTGCTTGGTGCACACATACGCTCATCCATGCTCATGGGCTTGCACATGCTCACCCACCCTCACACACATTCACCTACATACCCATGTTCACTCCACACTCATGCTCACTTGCACACACACTCACCCACGCTCACCCACACACACATGCTCATCCACTGTCACCCCCACTCACCTGCAATTACATGCTCACTGGCACACACACCTGAGACCACACATGCTCACCCAACTGCACATGCTCACCCACAAACACACACCTGTACGTGCCAGCCTCTGATTCCTGCCTTGTTACAGGAGGGAGTGAGACACCACTTCCCTATCTTTAACACCCACACCAGCCTTGACACATTTCTGGCCAGAGAAAACTCTTTCATTGCACCAGGTCATGGGCACGGGTGCTAAAATGTAGCTAGAATGATCAACAACCCCTTCTTCCCTTTAAAAAAAAATAATTGTTTTGTACCTGGAAGACAAATGTTTGGAGATTTGAAGACAGACAATTCAGGAATATGCTGAGATCTGTGGATGTCCCCAGCAAAGAAATCAAACTGCTTAAACCTGTAAACAAAAGAAGCAAAACGATTGTGAGCAAAGTAGCAGGATTTTACTGTAGGTATTTGTATACTAGGTGACCTAGGGGACAACACTGGTCCCGGAGTTCAAAGGCATTTCCTGGCGCCTCACACTCCTTTTGAACACAAAGGATGAATTCTAAAGCTGGATTTGTCACCTCTGCGGTCAACTAGTTCAGAGTTACATGGTCTTGCCTCTTAGGAACCACGTCTGTCACTTGTTGAAATGGAAAAAAATATTTTGAAATAATAACTACACCTTGTAATTATACAGAACCCAGCTACAGATGAGCTCATTGCATGATACAGACATGAGCTCACCTACCCTTGCCGTTTTCACAAAAGGGGTAGTTTATTAATGTCCTTTAAACCCATGGTGGACATCAAAGCCGATGAGGGATGTGGCTTGCCTGGGGCTATAAACTCAGTTAGTACAGACCTGAAGGGTGGGGCCCAAGCATGTGTGACATCAGGACTGGGTCCTCACCCGCACAGGCAGCACTGAGCAAAGAACAGCCTTGGGCTCGCCCACCTTTTGGAATGTGGCTATGTACCAAGCAGAGTTTAGAAACCCGAGTAGGTTGCCATGGCCCTGACTGAGGCTTGGCCAGGTCTCATCTGGAGGATCCTCCAGGGACACCTCAAGCATTTATCTGCTAGGCGTCAGCAGTGGTGACCAGAATATTGCCTCCCTGCTGGCTCTGTGCCCTTCTGGAAGTCCTATTTACAAGAATGCCAGTAGGAGCCCACAGGACTACTGGGCAGGCTTCTGGGGGAGAGGCCTCATGCCCTCCTGGGGCTCCCTGGGCTCTGGCTGGGGGCAACAGCAGGCTTTGAGCAATTACCTGGAGTTTGGGGGAGAGCCAGTAGCCTGGGGAGGGGGCCTTTTGGGCTCCTACAAATGAGCACTGCTTGTCCATATCTCTGAAGTTTCCTAGGTTAGGGGTTTACCTTCTCATTACTGGTTTGGGAGGGGAGGAGCTGGGATTTGGAACAGCCAGACAATAGGGGCAGGCGCGACCCGCCGACAAGTATGGACCTATTTATATATTTTATTTTATTTATTTTTTTTTTTTAAAGATTTTATTTATTTATTTGAGAGAGAGAGAATGAGAGAGAGCAAGCACATGAGAATGGGGAGGGTCAGAGGGAGAAGCAGACTCCCTGCCGAGCAGGGAGCCGGATGTGGGACTCGATCCCGGGACTCCAGGATCACGACCTGAGCCGAAGGCAGTCGCTTAACCAACTGAGCCACCCAGGCGCCCTATTTATATATTTTAATAACTGGTACAATCCTACCAAAGTCGGCCCTACTTCCAGGTTAAAGAAAGAGGCCAGGATAATTTGTGGTGCATTTATGCACTACTGAATCCATGTATTCATCTAGTTATGAAGTATGCGGGTGCTACCATGTGCCAGCACCGTGTTGGGTAGACCAAGATGAATAAGCCACAGCTGACACTGGAAGAAGCCCACACGTTCTGGGGAGGCAGCCCTCAGCACAGCTAAGTGTATCAGGACAGGGCCAGGCTCATGGAGGATGAGGCTACTGGACCTTCCCGGGCCATCCTGGGGGAGTGTCTGGAACATGCATGAATGGAGCGTGGCTCCCATGGCCCCTCCTGGCAACTCTCCTACAAAGGCCTAGAGATTCGCCTGTAGTCTGGGGGAGGAGGTCATACACCTTCTGCAGCTCTCCTCCTGAAACAGCACCCAGGTTCTCCCTGCTGAGTGAGGACAGCTTCTTCTCTCACTACTCTCGCTTCCCGGAGATGGAACAATGCTGTCAGCCTGCTTGCCAAGCTCTTTGTGCAAGGGAGATTTTTCCCTTGAAAAATAGTTACAACTCTCAGATAGCAAAGGGCAGGAATATCCACATACTCACTATCACTTGTTTGGAAAGTAGGTTGGAAAGTTTGGTAAGAGCACGTGGCTAAGCTTCACCTTATGAAAGATAACACTGGTGATGCTATAACAATAGCGACACAGCGGCACCTGGCAAGGCAGGGAGCGAACTTAATGTGATTCGGACCTAGTTAGAAGAGACACTGTCGAATCTGCATGTACACGATCGATGGTTTTTTCCAAAGGAGATACCCCAGGTTGATTTCCAGGAAGAAATACTGGGAAGCAACAACCACCCTCCTCTGTTCATTCATTCAACGAAAGTGGATTTGCACTGGGGACCTGGTGGACCCTTCCTCACCCCTGCAGGAAGAGATGTGCGAGCAGACACATGATAATATCAAAGAGTAAAGTAGGTTCTACCTCGACTAAGAATTCATAAACTAGTGATGGCCGCACCAGCCCCAAATATATCCCAAAGGCCCCAATAATGCAAGGTGCAGAAGGAAGATTACATTTCATCTCCGCGTGTGTCTCCAGGTCAGCGGCACTACTTGGGTTACTTGGCAGGGCTTTCTTAGACGTGTCCAAAGCACCTTGACTGGTGATGGCCTGTAGGTCTGACTTCAAAATGCTGACTCTCCTGTTATTTTTCAACACCATTTTCATAGTCTAAAGATAATGGAGAAGCATAATAACTTCATTAAATCTTGCCCTTTTACTTTTGCCTAATTCCCCTCTCCAAACGACTAAGTTTTTTTTTTTTTTTTTTTTTTTTGAGGAGAAAGAGAAGTGGATTTGGGTATTACCCACTAAAACTGAATCCTACATGACAACTGAAATGTTCAAATTGCATGCATTCCAGGATGGCCTTTCTGAAAATCACCATTTGGAGTGCTTCTGCTCAGAGGCAGATATGGTCAGGGCTCCCGGGGCTCTGTGGCTCTTCCTCTCCCTGATTCTTATTCTCTGCACCCCACTCCATGAGCCTGAACTACTCTAGAGAGGAGCATGGTGGCTGTGCCGGAAGCTCTGCAAGGAGAACATGGCTCCACAGACGCCAGTTCCAGAGGGGTGCTGCAGGCACCAGATGCTGTCTCTGTCCTTCCCCTGGGCCATGAATTCAGCCGCTGGGAGCTGAATTCTTCAGCCACCCAATGGGGACAATCCAATCCCCTCCATTTCTGGAGCCCCGGGGCTGAGCAGGGGGTCATCCTCAACACCAGCCTCAGGAGCAGGCCCTGCAGCCACCTCCTCCACCTGACAGGGGAAGAGCCTGAGGGCACCTGGGATGTTGAGTAAACCTTCCCCCAGCCATCGTGTTCAGAAAGAGAAGATTCAGAGCAGGGTGGCTCTAGAACCCGAGCTTGCCGCTTGGGCTGGCCATCATCAGTTGACCTGATCAGGAATGAGAAAGTGCTGGAGAACTGGATGGGCTGTGAGCACATAGGCAGGAAACAACCCCAGGAAACGTGAAGTCGAGAGAGAGTTTTGTGCTGGAAGGACAGAGATGGCGAAGCGGAGGGGCCCAGCCGCGCTCCTCCCGAGCTGGGACTGATTTGGAACAGAGCCTCAGTCCCAATCTGGTGTCCACAGGATTTCAGAACAGATTCCTGAGCGGCCCACACACTGGCATTATGGAATCTTTCTTTCAGCCCTTCTCTGCCTTCCTCTAACACTGAAGCTACATAAACAACCCAGGAGGGAGAAGGTCAGAGCTGAGAAACCTGGCAGACTGGACACACGGAGTCCATGGGGCCATGCACCGGGTGATGGGCTCCGTCTGTCTGTTCTAGACTCTGCCATGATGCCCTTTCACCTCTGACACTGGCTGGCCCTGGTCAGCACTTATGTGGGTTCTTCCTCTAGAACTTTAGAACACTGACCTGCTTGTTCTGCTTTTTCTCCTGCAGGGAGAACCTTTCTGAGCAGGGGAGAAGTGGGGTGGGCTTCTAGCTGAGAGTTTTGGGCACACTACACCTTCCCAGTTAGTGGCCAACAAGATCCTCCTGTCTGCCCTCTGCCCTCTAAGGGGATGGACATGGCCTCCCTACAAAGGGAGCTACCGTCTGCTCTTAGGACATACTTGCAGCTTTCACTTTTTGCTTCAGGAAACTACTTTGTTCCCTACTGTCCTGTTGGCTGAAACCTACCTTTGCCATGTTGGAAAGGTATGTCTTCCTTCTTAGTCTTTTGACAAACACAGTAACTTCTGTTAAGAACAAAACATATGGCCATTATTAATACTGTAGCTTCAAGTTTTTTAAAAATAAATATTTCTATTTATTTATTTGACAGAGAGAGAGAGAAAACACACAAGCAGGGGGAGGGGCAGAGAGAGAGGGAGAAGCAGACTCCCCACTGAGCAGGGAGCCCGATGCGGGCCTCGATCCCAGGACCCTGGGATCATGACCTGAGCCAAAGGCAGATGCTTAACTGACTGAACCACCCAGGCATCCCTGTAGCTTCAAGTTCTTATGTACACAGCGGGGAAGAGGACGCACAGCACGGACATGAGGCCCACGCATTTGCCTAGGAAGGTACGGCTGCCTAAACTGCCCTCCACACAGGGAGGCCTCCACGCATCCTGGTCTTCCCACTGCCCACTGGCCCTTTCCCAAATGGCTAGGAGATACTGGCAGGGACCACTTGACTAAAACCATCCCCCCCGCCCCCGTGCCAGAATGTGATATACTCCCAGCATCTGACGTGCCTGCTCAAAGGAATTTAGGACTTCCCCCAACTTTGTCATCTCTACAGTGCTCTCCTCAACAACTGACCCAAGGAGGGGCATCTGGGTGGCTCAGTCAGTTGAGCGTCCGACTCTTGATTTCAGCCCAGGTCAGAATCTCAGGGTCCTGGGATCGAGCCCCGCACTGGACTCTGTGCTCAACGGGGAGACGGCTTCAGGATTCTCTCTCCTTCTGTTCCTCCCCCCATGCTCACTTGCTCTCTCTCAAATAAATAAATAAATCTTTAAAAAAGAAAAGTGACCCAAGAAAAGGAAAGGGTGAAAAGAGGAAACATAAAAGGAGTGTGTGCATGTATTCATCTGACAAATATTTATGAGGGACACTAGTGCAGTGTTTGCTCCATAATGTGTGCTGGGTGTTCACTGGATTGTTGGACAAAGGAGGGCAGCCTCCACCTGCTAGGGGCTCACTGGCTGAGCATGGGTCACCAGACAGACGTGCAGACGCCTTCCCCACAGCAGGGTAAGTGCCCCGGGCAGTGTGAGAGCCACCTGGGGAAGAATGAAGGAAGGGGTGTGTGGGGGTGCAGAGGGGAGGGAGGGGCCTGTTTGGAAGAAGGTGTCAGGTGTGGCTTCATTTAGAATGTGCAAGTTAGGAGTTAGGGAGGGGTGAGGTCTTGGCGGGGGAGGGAGGTGGGGGCTTGGGACGGGGCTGGCAGTCTAGGCAGAGACAGGAGCAGGAATAAGGACCTTTCTGGAGACAACCTGTCTTGTGTTGCTGGGGAGTACCAGTGGGGGGATTCCCCCAGGGGTTGGGGACAAGGATGAGGCCAGAGGCCAAGCTGTAAATGACTCTGCATAGTGAGTGAAGGCCTGTGGACCGTCCAGGCAGCAGGGACCGTGGAAGGTTTTAATGGGTCAGATCACTGTGTAGAACCATCACTAGGGGCAGAGGGACGTGTGACCGAGGGGGTGAGGCTGGAGGCAGGATAACCAGCTAGAAAGCTCTGAAGTAGCCTCAGGGAGGGACGGAGGGAGACTGGGCTTGAGTGGCAAAGTCTCCTCACTTCATGGACCCTCTGCCATAGCAAGTTCCAGACCTCATATTCCCTGCAGCACCCTCTTTCTGCTGATTCTTGGCTGGCAGTCTCTGGCCCATGGTCCCTGCCCGGCCATGGGAACATGTCCATGTGGGTCACACGGGATCAAGATTCCCAGTGTGAGCACTGAACACAGCAAGGGGTGCAGGGCTGGTGGGTTAAAATTAGAGCTGGTCCTGTTCTGGGGCCAGTCTGAGAAGACAGCAAACAGTGTGCAAAGAAAGCAAGACTCAGCCCTGAGCAAGCTGGCCCAGGAAGAGGAGGGCCCGGGTGGGGAGGGCGCTGGAGGCAGCTACAGGCAATGGTGGAAAACCTCACAGAGGCAGGAGGGGGAAAAGAGGTATTTCCAGGACCATAAAGCATGTCCTGCACACGTGGGTGAGTGTTGGCATTTTAAGCCGCTGTAGGCCTTGAGCAGACAAGCAGCCTGGGGGAAGTAGTCTTCAGAGACTACCACCTGGCAGCAGAATGGAAGGGAACATGTTCTAGAAAGTCAATGGGGAGACCAAGACCACAAAAATGTGAATGCCCCAGTGGCCCAAGAGGTGTGAAAGTTAAGGACATGGGAGGAATTTCTAAGGAGGGAGCGATATTCTTGGAAGCCTTGCTGGGAGGCCACACAGAGCACGAAGAGGCAGAAGAATATTGGGCCACCTAGCCCAAGGACTGTAGGCTGCCTTCAGAGGGCTGGTTTGAGAAGGCACACATTAGCCACCAGCTGGATGCACTGTGGCTTCTCCCTGGCCTGGGCCATAGTCAGCGGCACCTTTTCTGCATCTCTAACACCGTGGGCCTGTCAGAAGTCCACGTTAGGATTTATAAGGGGCAATCGATGAAAGGATGTGGATGGACCAGCACAAGGACCCAACATTGCACTAAAGAAAATGCCAGCAGATCCGAACTGGTCAGGCCTTGCGGGCTGCAGTTTAGTGCAGGAGGAGAAGAGTTACCCACCAGCTGAGATGTCCTGCCTCAGTGTGAAAGTTAGATCCTTCATCTACTCTCACAGAATTCATTTTTTTTTTTCCATTGAAACCTACCTTTGAGTTTAGAGATCTGTACAAGGGCTGGAAAACCTTCCAATGCATTAAGTAGCCACAGCTTAAATTTCTTGCTGAATAACCGGACAGACTTCAGGTACTGGATAGAAACATCTTCCAAAAAGTCATGAAGGAGAACATCCTCAATTCCCTACAATGGAATTGTCGAGAGGTGATGACTGCAGGCCAGGGTAGGCGTCCTCTAGTTCTTTTTTTTTTTTTTTTAAAGATTTTATTTATTTATTTGACAGAGAGCGAGCGAGAGCAGGAACACAAGCAGGGGGAGTGGGAGAGGGAGAAGCAGGCTTCCCGCTGAGCAGGGAGCCCAATGTGGGACTCGATCCCAGGACCCTGGGATCATGACCTGAGCCGAAGGCAGACGCTTAACGACTGAGCCACCCAGGCGCCCAGGCGTCCTCTAGTTCTAAGTGGCCATGTTCGGCTGTGCCACAAACTCAGAGAGAAAGCTACCACGCAGCCCTCGCCACTGCTCAATGTGTGTGGCCAGAATGGGATTTTTCTTAAAGATCTTAAAATACTGATAATTGTTCCAAAAATGTTCAGAAACACTATTTCAGCCAATAGTAGATGTGATCAAAGCCAACTATGTAAGGGCTGAACCCAGCCTCCAGTTTTCAACCTTTTTGTTAAACATTTCGAGGTACTAGATTGTTTCCTAAAAAATAATAAAGTAAGAGGTAAAGGTTCATGACCAGCTTCAGGAGAAGCACAGAAATTATATATAACTGATCCCCAAATAACAATAATCACTCTGGAGATCGAGCATTTAAAAAAAGCAATGAGAAAACCCAGCACTTCTGTATATTCCAAAGCAATTATTCCAGCTACTCATTTTAAAGACTTCTTTGTTGAAGTTACCAGAGAAAGAACTTTGACTCAGTGCAGGGCTCACTAATCACTGGAACCATACTTCACCAGGTGTACTGGCTTTTTCTTTCCATGAGGTAACTCTCACTGAATTTAAAAAAAAGAAGCTGAGTTTTAGGGAAAGATTAAAAGGCTCCATCAACACCACAATTTACTCCTTAGAGGGCCTGAAGCCCATGGAGTCTGCAGAACAGGAGGGCTGCAGTCCTAACCCCAGCATCTGGTATTAGTTTCTGGAAAGGACACAAACCAGCAAGGCAAGCAAATGTCTTCCTACCTTGTACAGCTGCACATCGTAGCATTTAAAGAGCTGGCACACATCGGGCAATGTCATAAGCATGACTGTGTCTTGCTGCAGAGATTTCCAGAAGGAAGTGAGCAAGTCCTCCACCTGATGAGGAAACAGAACATACCTCCCCAAATTCATTTTGTGCCTGGTGAGATTGATCCCCCGTTATATACTTAATCAGCCCCAAATGATAATGGGATGAATTTCAGTCCAGTTAATGTATAGCTCAGCCTATCAGCTTTTCCAAGCTGTGTTTTAGAAGTGTTCTTTCCAGCAACCCATCAGTGAGCCACTAGCCAGTTGGATGGGATGATGTGGAATGGCATTTTCATGAAGTTTTCTGGAATGAAGGCTGTTTCTGACCACAAGGGGGCTCCTGTTGATTTGTAATAGGATGAGGATCTGGCCACAGGGCACAGACCACAGTTCAGAACAAATGTTCATTGACTGACTGACTCCCTCAATTATTTGTCAGCTCAGAAGGACATGTAACAGTATGTAATCAAAGAGACCTCCTTGATAAGTTAGAATTCACCCAAGGACTATGTGAGCCAAAGGGCACCGGTATCATTCTCCATGGAGCCTTCTTTAAAGACTTCTGTAGATACCTTTTGTTGTGGAACAAAATGGCAGCTTCCTTATTTTTCTTTATGTTTGCCCATGTTGACTCTTCAGACTCTATTACTGAACCAGGTGGCCAATCTGAGATGCCAACTAATAAAGACCCTTGCCTTTTTAGGATTTTTGCAGGCTCAAATATTTTGCAGCGTTGAAATCCTGACACAAGGACCTGCTGATGACTCTAGGCAAAGAGCTATTCCTGTATACAGGCTGTCAAGGTAGTTACAGCCAACTCTCAAAGTACCTGATGATGAGCCTGTGATTTGAAATCCAGTTATCAGGGCATTAATTCTAGAGAAGACATCTCCAAAGAGGCTCATAGATATTGAACAAAAAATGCAATAGTGGGATGAATAGGATTATTTAATCTTTTTACTGTCAGATTGGTAACTTTGGAGCATGGCTTTTGGGGTTGGTGGGTCTGAATGAGGTAGCAACCATGGGCTCATCTCTGCTAACTCCCTCACCACCCTTGTCCAAAGTCATCCAATCCTGTTGCATCTGCTTCAGATATATTTCTCCAATTTGCCCATCTTTCTCTCTGATATCATTGTCACTGTTCCAGACTTGACCCCTCCCCTCACTTCTCACCTTGACTATGACAAAACCTCCTCATTGCCATCTACTCCAATATGGCAATCTTGCATCACTGCTCCCCCACCACCTTCTCAATCAATCAGAATTCTTCACAGGGCATGAGGCCCTTTCTAGGACCAGACTACTTTCCCACATCCCCTCTGGTTCTCTCCTTCAGAGATATTTATATCTAGTCATAGTGACTCTTCTGTCATGTCATGCTTGAGAACATCTTGCTGCTCTTACCTACACCATTAGTTCTACCTGGAACTCCTTTCCTACTGCACTTTTGAGTGTATCTGAACCTCTGCTTTTCCACTGCAATCAATAGCTTCATGGCTTCCCCTTGGGAGACTATCCAGCCATCTTTTTTACTCTTTCTCCCAGCACCCAGAACAATCTAATCAAGCTGCTATTCTAGAACTTGCCATATTGTATCATATTTATTGGCTTATATTGCTCCTTTTAGTACCAGATTGTAAGCTTCTTTTTTTTTTTTTCGTGAGTAGTTGTGTTTATTTCAACAGCGGATTTGAAACCCTTGCCTTAGGCAAGAGACTACAGTAATTATACCAGGAATAGACAATTTCCTACACTGTCAAATATATAAAAGTTCTTCTTGCACTTTCCTCAACACTGATCAACAAGTAGATTCAGTCCACATTTGCTTTGATCATTCTACTAAGTTAACCCAAGCTTCTTCTTCAGAGACTCTGGCATTTCAGGTGGAGGAGGGCGAGGGAGCCTGAAGTAGATCTTCACAGAGTCATAGATGAACCACTGTAGTGCAGTCAGAGTGCCAATCGTGATGATACAGGCAAAGATTGCCTTCCACACACCTTTAAATCCAAGTCTCTGAAGAACTTGAGAAGCACTGCTACCTTTCTCCTTATTCAACACAGATACCACGGAATCAGCAGGGTGAGAAACAATTGCACAGAAGACTCCAGCTATGTGACCTGCCACAAATGTTACAACCAGTTGCTCTGCCTTTGAACATTCACTTTGGGGCTTAGGAGCCACAAACTTGTAAAATGCTTCAATGATATGTTCAAAGCAGGCAAATTTCATCATGGTATATGGTATCTGTCTCATCCAGAGAGGGGCAACTCCCTTGTAGAATGCTTTTAAGCCTTCTTCCTTATACATTTTGGGAGCTGCATCCCTCAAAGTGTTGGCATAACCTGGCTGGGTTTGAATTTGAACCTTAGCAGCTTCCATAGGAGCCAGGGCAATGTCAGCAAAGAATTCAGCACTGGCAGAAGCAGCCAAATATAGTGATGTGTGCCAGAGATAGGCATTCTCCTCCTCAAGCATGTTGCTATACAAGACTTTGAAAACTTCATAAAAGCCAAACTTGCAGAGCCCCTGCATAGAGTAGCCAATGGAAGTCGGAGCCCATCGTTTAGCCAAACCACGAACACCACCCTCTTCAAGTGTAACTGAGAATCCATTAAATATGCCCTTGTACTTTTGGGGTTCACCCGCATAGAGCATTTCCCTAAATCCAGAGGAAGGACAGCAGTGTGTGTCAGACCACAACTTAAGACCCCACCAAAGCCACACAGTGCATAAAACTTCATGGAGCCATATTCGCAGCTGTATTCTTCCACAGCAGCTGCTGCCAGATTGCAGGAGTGGGAACGGCAGGGCCGGCCCGGGGGACCTGTGGGGCTGCTGCGGGGGCCCGTGAGGCCATCGTGTACCAGCTGTAGGTGTGGCGTGTTGAAGGGGTTCACCTGCACCAGATGCACCATAGACGAGAACATCTTCTTCCTAAGATGGCGAACACACAACCGCTCCCTCGAAAAGGCTGCAGCTCACAGAGGCCGAACGTCCTCCCAAACCCTTAGATCTGTGCCCTTCAGGCAGATTATAAGCTTCGTAAGCCTTATGGAGAATACCTTCCTAGTTCCAGAAATGGTACTAGTCACAGGGTAAAAATTAAGTTAATGTTTGATGAGCAAATGAAGGAAAGGAGTGTATTAGATATTCAAGGTGGATGGATATTGAGAAAATTGCATCAGTAGGACAGGGGTCATCCTGAAGACATTTTGGTCTCTCCTTCACTATAATGTTTTACACTGAATAAGTACTAAATGAACTCATGCTAAATGAATATTATCACCCAAAGCTGAAGTACTTAGAACCCTAGGCATCAGAAAAGCTTTCATTGAAATGTGTGCTTGTTTCCCTGGATTTTCTACTGCAAAAGATAAAATTCAGAATGGTTAAAAGATGTGTTTGTTTTCCACAGCCAATTCTAGAATAAAACCCAATCATTACAACACAGATGACCCTGCTTCAAAGTCTTGCTTCTTTTTCAGTTAGCACTTATCAATAAAGTGGCTCTTCAGCATGACTGAAAATTCTAAGGTGAATAATATTACCAATACTTTATTCAAAATCAACATGAATTAGATCTTTAAGAAATAGCTGAATTATACTTAAAGCATAAGGTTATATTAGCACCTTGGAAAATTTCCAAATGATTAAACTGAGTAAAAATATCACCTCAGATATCACCTCAATATCTATAAATAGCTGACTTCTAAGCACTACAGTGCAATGAATTACCACTCGACATCCCTTGAGGGGGTCTTTTCAAGTAAAATGATTAATAGTGAGTCATAAATACTTATATTTTATAGATAAAACCCTACCCTCTCAAGTTCTTGGTTCCTCACGTTTTGTAAAATATCTTGGCAATAGTTGTAGTATTCATCAGCAAGAAAGGCCATCTAGGAAGGATATGGAAAATTATTTCAGTTTTAAAGTCACTTCAAGAATGAACTGATCCTCAAAGACCTCTCTCTAAGCCCTTAGAGGCTGCTGCTTATGTTGCAGTTCTGCTATGAGAGTAGCTGAGCTCTAACGGTGTTATTTATTTATGTGGAGCAATGGATACACATTATTGGCCTAACATGGACATAGCTTCAGTTTTGAAGTCATAACTCCAGGGTCTGTACCACCCACTAAAGAGGCCACCAATCTCTGACATCTTTCTCCCTAAACCCCAATTTCCCCCTTCATATTCCCCCGTCCCAGTTTCTAGAAAATCTGCCTATCTGTTCTCTGCTCTGTCATAGGGAAGCCCTCATTCTAGATGACAAAGTGGTTCCAGGTAGAGCCTTTCTGTAGGATGTGAGGGGAAGATCTGAATTTCCTGACTGCCACCAAGCCCAGGAGGGTATGTCGGTGCTCACAGGTCTGGAAGAAGGCAAATACTACTCCATTGGGTTCAAATGATCACAGGCAAACTAAGAAGACATTTACTCCTCTGGGCATCAAAGGCATGAAAAGTTAGTTTCTCCCATGCATGCAAGCCTACCATTTTGTAGGAATACTTCTTTGCCAGTTCTTGCTCCCAGAATGGACATCTCCTGAATTCAGACAAAGGGGATCCAACTGGATCTGTCCTTATCGGTGAATGATTTTCACACTAGAAACCATTTACACATAGATTATCTCTTGAAAATAAAATGCATTTTCTTGCATATAAACCATGTAATAATCACATTGCTACTACAGGTTAATGTTCTATGTAACCTTTTATCCACACCTCTGGACATATTGATCCTAGCAACTTTTCCCCCTTATTTCATTCCAAATGATATTAACCTTCCCTTATATTCTATAAACTCTGGTCATCAGGAAGCAGTTAGAACTGAATATATTACTCAAATGTGTCATTCTTGTGGTCGTGTATTACAAGTGCTATATAGTAACGTGATAAAAATATTATCTATGAATAATTTAATACCACAAATACATTTATACAATCCTTGTCTACATAACTGTCCCTCCGAAATAAAACCATATCCTGTCTAGGTCATGATGCCTGTATTATAAAAATGGTTAGTTATATCAGAAATCTCAGGGCCTAACTACCAAGGAAAATGAAGAGCACAGACTTCAGAAGGACACATTACAGAATGGTAAAACTGTTCCATCAAGGAGGAAAGAGGTATTCCTCTTGGCAGAAAGTGAATTCAACATTCCTTCCTGCTGTCCCTTTTGAAAAAGGGAAGGCAGGATCACTCCTGATTGATTGCAGGACCTTGATTTTATTTTAAATGATTTCTTCAAGATTTTCCAGAATGACGTTTGAATAATTTCCATTTCAATGGAGTAGGTTGAAATCATTCCTAGGAGTTGGAAATTGAACTTGTGAAGCCTGCCACATTGGATTGCAACACACATGAGGGTTTTCCTCTTCATTCTCTCTCCACCCCAATGGTTTGCTCTGTGACAGTACAGTTCCAAGGTTAGTATTTCATTCTTAGATCTTATATCCTCAGATCTTATATATTCAGAGCCTCACTGAGCTACTCACTTACATCTTGCTTAGTAGACTATGTGGGTTTGCAGTATGTTCCTGTCTACAAGCCACGTGAGGGCAGAGCGGCCTTCTGAACTGCCTGTACCCACCCTCATGGATAGAAGTGGCACTCGGCTACCACCCCACGAGGCGCTGCACACAATCGAGAACAGGCACTGCCAGCTTCCTCCTTCTCTCATGCTCCCTTGTTATCAACTCATATCACAGTGAGGATCAGGAGAGCTTAGGGGTCATGGTCAACAGTCTTTTCAGTGTCCTAAAATCTGTACTGCTTAACTCTTTGTGGTCCTGAACCCCTTTGAGAATCTGATGAAAGCAATTGACCTGGAGAAATGCACACTATGCACTTAATATTGTGAAGTTGAAATTACCCTTATCGGTATTTTTGGAATAAATAGAGGCATGGGTGTCTAAATAAATACATAAAGTAGTCACACAGAAAGGTGACAGCTCAAAGGATGTCATTTCCTGTGGGTTCTGTTTGGTTCCTACTGGGTTTGCACTGGGTGCTATTCAACCCCCATTCCTCCCACTTTGGAACACTGGTTTCACTCAGAGTCACTGGATGGACAACCGTTGTAGTATGTGGGTGAAGGCCATCAAGAAGGATGGGGCTATTCTGTGGAGTTCACTGGCCTGGCCATCAATCTTCTATTAGAGAAGCACTAAGGAATCATCCAGTCCAATTCTGGCTAGCTTCTCTTCCCTACCACATCTTATCCTAACTACATCCATTTTCTCCATAGCACACCCTGACCTCCTGTATTCATCAATGCTCCTGAGGCTGATGTTGCTATGATCAAAGCCAGTGTTTCTCAAGTGTGGTCCTGAAACCATCTACAACAGAATCTCCAGGAGTACTTGGGGTTCATATCCCTAGGGCCCTAGTAGATCAGATGAGGGCAGAAATCTGTCATTTTGATCAGCCTCCCAAGTGAGCCTTACGCACGCTCAAGTTGAGAATCACAGTTCGAGGCAGACTGTTCTTTGTCTTGCTGCAGAAATCTCTACATTTCAACATGGCAAAAACATCACAGTTCTACCTGTTCAATGTCCTATGTACTATCGTAGTAATGTACTATTGTATATTACATACTATTGTAATAATGTAAGAAATCATTGCAAGGAAAACGTGAAAGTAATCAATTACTAACAAAATAATAATAAAAAAGAAAGTTACATGTTCCTGGAGTTAATTCCTTCCAGGCTCTTCCTGTGAAAAGAACTGATCTTTCAGAAAAAGATTCAGAAAAAAAAATTGTTTTAAAATCACAAATTGAAATATTTTCTTTACAATATAAACAATCAGAAATCTAAAGTGAAAGTATGTTACAGAACCACTTAAGTTGGAATTTCTGCAGGAGAAGGCATTCGGGAAAGAATCAGAGGGATTCCCATTCTGGAGAAATAATTCAGCAAAATGACAAAGAAAAAAGTGAGAAATTCTATTTAGATTTTCCAGGTATATTAAATGCAGTTTGGGATTTTCAATAATTCTAAAAAATGTCATTGTAATCTTTAGTGAGCACATACTGTGTGTCACACCCTAGAGATACAATGGGGGATCCTTCCTGTCAATACCTGACCCTCTACGCATTATATGTCTCCCCTATCAATTCTCCTGGATGCCGTTGGTCCTTCCTGCATCCTTGAGGACACTGGTCCCTCAGTTATCACCCCCAAAGCAAATCTATCCTGTCATTCTCCTTCTAAAGATGCCTCAATGGTGGCCTACAGTCTCCACCAGTCTTCACTACAGGTGAAATGTAAACTCCTCGGCCTCGCATTGACAAGCTGTCTACCATCTGACCCTACCCAGAGCCTACTGTTCCCCCAAATCCTCACCTCTGCCTCCTCATTGCCCACATACCTCCCAGCGTGAATGCTAACCACGCCAAGATGAATGCCTCCTAAAAGAAGATCCAAGTGACCCCTCCAGGATCAGCTCAAGGACATTGTGGCAGGCAGAATGATGGCCACCAAAGATGTCCACATCCTAATCCCTGGAACCTTAGATGATGAGAGGGACTTTGCACATGTGATTAAGATTAAGGAACTTGAGATGGGGGAGATTATCTGGATCATCCAGGCAGCCCCAGTGTAATCACAAGGGCTCTTAACAGTAGGGAGCCCTTCCCTGCTGCAAAGAACCAGAGGGATGGCAGTGTGAGAAAGACTCAGCCTGTCTTTGCTGGCTTTGAAGACTGAGGAAGGGGCCATGAGCCAAGGAACATGGGCAGCCTCAAAAGCTGGAAAAGACAAGAAATGGATTCTCCCCTACATCCCCCAGAAAGACTGTAGCCAGCACTTAGATCTTTGCCTGGTGAGAACCATGTCAGACTGACTTCCAGAACTGTAAGAAAATAAGTTTGTGTTTTAAGCCACTAAATTTGTGCTAATTCACTACAGTAGCAATAGGAAATGAACACAGGCCACCTCTTCCATGAAGCCTTCCCTAATCACTCTGGCCCACTACAATTTTTCTCCTCCAATCCCACTTTGGACTTCTCAATCCACCTACAGCCTACCCAGCCCATTCCACAGCACACCAGTTATTTCATGTCTATCTTAGATTCCCAACCCTGAAACTGTATTCTATTCAAGTACAGAGAGTATGTTTTCGTTTGTTTTTACTTTTCTTTCACACCTCATTCAGTCCCCAAGAGTGCTGGTCACAAAAAAAGGTTTTCAAAAAGTTGTTCATTCAATGACACCATGTACTACCATGTCATCTTGGCCAACTTAAGTAAAATTCAATGCGTGATGTCATAGATTAGCTATTAATAGTTCTGGTGTCCTAATTCAAAGAACTATAACTGTAACATGGAGACACTTTCACACAAATTTATTGCTAACAACCTATGTCCTTCTTAATTATAGCAAAAGAAACACAAACAGCTGATGTACAGCAAATAGTATGCTTCTTGAGGACATCTGTCCCAGTGTGGCACACTGTGGATAATCAACAACCTTGGTCAAATGGGTGAGTGGTTAAGGACCACACATAATAAGAACATTAAACACAGGAAAACAGTTGCATCTGATCAAGCAATTACTGAATATTGCAGGGTCTATTATAGTAAATCTATTATATTCCATACTCACTGTTCCTTCTTGTTGGATAATGCTGTTATAATTAGTAGATTTTTCAAAGCCAATGATGTCTCCACTGTGATAGAACAGATAACAGAGAAATAATTTTAGTAAGCCACCTGTTTCTGAGCACAAGTATGAAGTGGTGTTCTTCTTCTTCCTCTTCTTTTTTTTTTGCAGCAAGTTTACTTATATGGGGTTTAACTTTTTTTTCAAAACTCTCCTCCAAGTTCCTATACATGACAGGTGATTAGAACCTGCTTGGAGTTAAAAAAATTGATTTCTGTAACTGGGACAACCATGTATTTCTTTTGAGGGGTTTATTCCCCTTAGAAGTAAGGTTATGATGTCATCATGGGTAGAACTTGCTCCTGAGAGAAAAGAAAAATCTTCATGGAAATGAGGTCTTATACTTTCTGATTTGGGGCTTTTAAAACGATGAATTCAGAAATGATAATATCCTCTGATGTATGTAAATGTAACAGAGCACCTTCACGGAACAAGGAAATGGAGAATAATGAGATGTACATTGCATTTCACCATGCCTCGGATTCATACCTTATAATGAAGATATTTGTACATCATGGAGAACAGATTCAGTCCTCCCCATGTGGTGTGGGACATTTTCCCTTTAATTCTGGGTATTTGAGAAACTGGGAGCCCAGAGACGACCCTCTTTTCACAGGAAATGTTTATTCTCTGGATGCCAGAGGAGGAGGCATCTCCTTCCCAGTTCCCCCACCATCCTCAGAGCTGTAGCTGCTCTGTCCACTCCAAGTCAATACATATCCTTACACCTGATTGTTTCAACTTTACGTAAACATACAAAGAGAAGAGGAAAGCAGTAGACCAGTGCTCTGCTTCTGGAAACAAGGCAATGTTCTTCAAGGTAGGATGGCCTGGGAGGAGGTCAGGGTCCAGGGGCACAGGGGAGATGGAGATCAATGGCTTTCATCTCACACAGGGAGAGACTACAGCCCCTCCCATTCTCTCCAAATCCCCAGAAGCTCTCTGCTAAAGGTGTCTGTCCAGTCTCCAATCCAAGTTGTGGGAAACTGGGCAGAATACTTGATACCCATCTGATCAATATTTCCACATAATATTCTACTTCAAAACAGGGCAAATAGATTCAGGGTCTGAAACAAAACCACTAGAAAGCCACCCTCTTCATCTTCAATTAAGAGTTGTTATCACAATGGGAATTGTACTTTGGAGTGTTCAATGGCAAGAGGGTTTCAGAATGTGGGATCTGTTCAACCTGGAGGGGAGATAACCCTCCACATAGCATGATGGATTGATGCATGATGCAAAGAGAGCCACAGGTGAAGAATTTGAGATGTCTTGGAATTCCACTTGTCATATCTCAATGATCTCTTGGGTAGGTATGGACAAAGATGGAGTTTCTCCAGGTAAAATCTGTAAGCAGCTCATTGCCACACAGGTTCTGGGACATTACCTCAAGACCAACAAACAATAAATAAAACACTGGATAAAACCTAGAATGAAAGAAGACAGAAGAGGGGTGCCTGGCTGGCTCAGTTAAGCATCTGCCTTCAGCTCAGGTCATGATCCCAGGGTCCTGGGATTGAGTCCTGCATCAGGCTCCCTGCTCAGTGGGGAGTCTGCTTCTCCGTCTCCTTCTGCCCCTTCCCCCTGCTTGTGCTTTCTGTCTCGCTCTCTCAAATAAAAAAAGAAAATCTTAAAAGAAAGAAAAAAGACAGAAAAAAATGTCAGAAATGAAAGTTCACTGAGTAAAGGGCTAATAGAAGAGGAATTTAAATAAAAATATATAGTCATCAGCCTTTAAGAGATGTCCTAAAAATCACTTGTGAGGCCTTTCCTCAACTAAATTGGAGGGAGAGCAATTTCTCTACAATTCCATATTGGGTTAATATGCTACCCTAATATATTTTCTTTGGAAAATGAATCCAAGACCATGGTATGAATATATTCAGCCCCATCCATCCATCCATCCATCCATCCATCCATCCATCCATCCATCCATCCATCCCCCATTGCCTCATGAAATATTTACTGCATGCCTACTATGTCAGGCATTGCACTAGGCCTTGGGGGATATAACTGCGATTGTGGTGGACAGTCTGTTCTCATAGAGGTGACAGCCTATAGAGGAAAAAAGATGTTACATAAATAACTGCAAAGACATGGCATGGGAGTTAAGACAGTTGAAGTATAGGGTGTTAGGGGAATATATGTTGGGGGGCATGCTATTTCCTTGTTAGTTTGACAGTTTACATGCAGCTTAATAAACTCAGGAGGGTGTCACTTGTGATTAGCTAGTCCCTTTGGTTAGTACATATCACAACACTGTACTTGGACAGCACTTACTAAACTCTTTTGACGATGACAGCAATCTTCATGGGACATTCCTTTGGCAACTTAGAAACAGGAGTCTGGAAGCTAGAAGGTTTGGTTTCTGACTTAAAGGAATGACAAGGGAAACCCTCCGCCTTGTTGCTCAGTCCCTCTGCCCCAACCCTGATTCCAGTAGCTTTGGAAGCCAATCAGTTGAGAGTGATACTCTCAATTATGTAGGACTTATAAATGCAACTCCCAAGTTCCTGCCATGTGTTCAATGTGTAGTATATGAGTTTAATTCAACAGCCATTGAAAGGAGGGTGGTGTTACCCTCCTCACTGTTAAAAGGAGGCTGAAAGCGAACTCCCTGCCACATAGAGGCCTTTGTGTGTCAGACTAGGGGACACAATCCCACTATTCTCACTGGGGCGTTATTTTATTTTTATAGCATTTAAATTGGGGGATTTTGTTCTTTGAAACAACAGTGACAGGAAACATAAAATCTCCTCTTCAAAGAGAGATGTTAAAAAAAGTGTCCATCTCCTGCTGGCCAGATGGTGACAGCTCGCTTGTTCAAAAGAATTGCAAGGCTGCCTCTTCTAACCTTTGGGATCCCTTAATACGGGTCAATGGCTCATAACATGGGTCTGGGATTAGTGCAATCCTATCCATTTATTTAAAAAATTACCTAGTCTCCAAGGCCCCCTTCAAGCAAAGATGTATGAAAGTATGCACCGGTTGGTGAGAGAGAAGGAGGCAGTATCAGAGCCAGGCTACAAAGCAGGTGAGCAGAGGATCGCTATTGGAGACCAGCCTGGTGGCAAAGCGGGGGATCTGTGGAAGGCCAGGTCAAGGACTTTGGCACCCAGAGGATCTGGCCAACTAGGCCAAATGGACACAGCAGGCATTGGCCCCATGCTTTAATCTTAAGACAAGGCTGGTCTGAGTTAGAAAGGGAGACTGTGGTAGACCACTGAGGTCTATCACTCAAGAGGAGGGGCAATGAGGGTAGGGAGGCCAAAGCAGCATGAGAGGTGACAGTTTCAGTTCTTGGGGTGCCAGTCAGGATGGCCTCATGTTCTAGGGGTCACTGCCACTGCATCACTTCCCGTGTGCGGTTCTGACTCAGTCCTTTGGGACATTTATTAGGTTGTGGTCAAATGCATAGTCATTGCTGAAATATGGCTCTAATAAAACCACATTAACATTCCCAGAGCCAGCCTTGCCATGAATGAAGGGCTTCCAGTCCAAGAGGTCTTCTTCCACCATTTCCTGAGGCCTCAGATGCTTTAATGGTACCAAATCATGGTGAAGCCCATGGTTCAGGAAGGACCCCGAGTCACGTCTGCCCAGTGAAGTCACTTGTGTTCCTGGTGAACTGTCTCCTCAGCTCCTGCTCCACAGGGTACAAGCCAGCCCAGGCCCAGGATGTCAGGATTTAACCACTAGGGATAGGGAGAGGTCAGGAGGTGCTGCAAAGAGTCCCCTGGAAATGGAGGGAGAGAGACCTGGGAAGAAGGAAGGCTCAGAATTCACACAGTACAATAGAGAATCTCGAGCAGACTCCCTGTTGAGCCTGGAGCTCAATGTGGGGCTTGATCTCACAACCCTGAGATCATGACCTGAGCCAAAATCAAGAGTCAGGTGCTTAACTGACTGAGCCACCAAGGCATCCCATTACTTTAGTTAGATTTTATGATCAATTTGGCTAAAGAAGGATCCAGCGTGAAGAGGACTGCGATACGATTATAGGGCACACAACTCATCTTTTTTTTTTCTTCCATAAAATCTTTCAAATGCAATGTTAGCTTAATATGCTTTTTGGCATTTGACTTTCTTTTAGTCTAACTACAATTTGCATTCACATTCTCAGGTTTTGACATCATTTGTCATTAATCCAGACTTTCATTTACATCATTTTGGCCTCGTAATTTGTCCTCTCAAATCACTCCAACAGCAGTGAAACAACTTGAAGCAATTACAAAGGTAAGAGGATAAAAATGTAATAAAACCTAATTCGTGGACCATACTTGTTTAGTGTCAGATTGCAGAGCAAAGGTGCTTCATCTTCCAATCATTAAAGGATCCAATTTCAATTTTTACTCAAAGCACATGAATAATTATATTTCGGTTTGATTAGGAGAAGATGAACCTGATGAATATTTGTATAGCTGAAACTAAAATAGTAAATATATGTAGTCATAGAAGGACGTGTATCATTAGGATTGCAATATAAGCTTTCTTTGATATAATTTTGCTTCTACTAATGATACTAATCACTATAATCCACTGAGTATTTATTTGTTGCTGAGTGGTTTACTTTGTATTACCTAAATTCTTCCAACAATCCACGAGGTAGATAGATAATAATTCATTATTATCCCCATCTTATATATTGGAAAAGAGAAACAATTCAAAGAGCTTGAGACCCAGCTTTGACTCAGAACCTCATCTCTATTGCCCATTCTACTATTCTGTCTTGTGAGATGTATATGTAGGATAAAAAATAACATACATGAGCAGGACAAAGTAAGACATCAGGTATTTGAAACTTAAAAGTAGAAAAGAACTATCTTATTTTTAAAACTGGTTTGCTGAGTGTTGTTTGTGGATTAGTCATATTCTGCATTGGGGGCTGTTGCTTTTTATACTGCTTAACTGTACCCTGACCCATTAGATTTTATGAACAACTTAATTGCAAAATGATGACCGCAGGGAACACCCTGGGAAATGTTGAAAGTCTAATTCATTCACGTT